ATAGGCCCATTGTATTTTTATCTTGTGCTACAGCGCCACCTAGGCTTTGTACATAAGATGATAACAAAATATAACACCATACACTTTAGTGCAAGAAATCCAGGAGCTGGCTAGATTAGGCTCAGATACATATATGTAGTGTATCTTTAAAAGAAATCAATAATTACAAAAATTTTATTTGGTAAAATTGAATTAATTGTCCAAATAGAATGTGTATGGTGTAATTATCCTTATCCCTGGTTAAGAAAATAACCCAGGGTACATGATACTATCACCAGATTATATACTTTTATCAGGAAAAAAGATAAAAATAAAATCCACTTGACATGAAGCACACTAGTATATAGAACTGGTTGCTAGAAGGCAATATATCGCTTGAACCACTATAAACAGTAAAAAACTGGAAGTGTTATAAAAATCAGTTTATTGTCAAAAATTAAAAATAAAGATAAAAATGAATGCATAGTAACATCACCAGTCTACTGAAGATCAAAGTAGCAGGAAAACCTTAAAATCGGGCTGGGATGGATATAGATGCTGTTCGTAAGCTTGCCCTCTGGATTCCGACTGCCTGTGAGGACCGTGTGCGTTTCAGTGTGCAGTCCAACACGGACCTCACTCCGAGGGACAGACACTGTAGCCGGTCTGAAATCCGAAATAGATGAAGGCTCCTTGTACATAGATCTTTGCTGGCAGCTACTGTGCTTGATCCTTGTTTCGTCTGTTTCGTAGGGGCCTGGCCTACTTCCTCAGAGACTCAAGCAGTCTCTAAAGAAGTAGGCCAGACCCCTACGAATCGCGTGGGAAGGGGTGAGTGCAGGGCCGGATTAACATAGGGGCTGATGGGGCTGCAGCTCCAGGCCCAGGCCACTGGAATAGGCCCATCTAAAAAATAAAATAAAAAAAAATAAAAAATGTAATTTTTTTTTTTTACACACTACTCTTAGGTTTGCCACCTGACTGGTATTTTAAGGTACAGCCGGTATTTGAGGCTGCCTGGCCATGACGGTATTGCAGTAATACCGTCAATACAAATGCAAATCTTTTTCTCAGTATAAACGGCGATTACTCTGCAATACCAGCACGGGCCAGTAGGGGTCACTGTGATGGAGAGAGGCAGGGATAGGAAGTTACATAGGGAGACTTAGGGAGACACATTGGGACATGGAGACACTAGGGACACAGTGTCTCCATGTCTTCCAGTGTCCCTATGTCTCCCAGCCAGTGTCCCTAGTGTCTCAGTGTCCCCATGGCTCCCAGTGTTCCCTAGTCTCCTAGTGTCTGTGTCCCAATGTCTCCCAGGGTCCTCAAATGTCTGTGCCTCCATGTCTCCCAGTGTCACATCATGCCAAGCTTTGGCTTCTGGTATCCAGTACTCTTTTTGCTGTCCTTGCTTGTTTTTTCTGGTTTTCTGGTCTATTTCTGGTTTTCTTTGTTGCTGGGTTTCTGGGTTGATTCTTATATTCCGTCCCTGGATTTCCCAGTCTCTTGGATTCACTTAAATGTTTGTTTTATGTTGCCATACCCGTTTGTTTTCCACTTTCCTTTTGTTTCAGCCTGGGCCTGCAGTAGTGTTTCAAGCCTCTGCCCTTTCTTGCAGGTAAGTGCTATTGTGGTTTAGTGTGGTTGTTTTAGCATGCACTAGGCAGTGTAGGACCTGCCGAATATGGGGTACATTGGCGTTGTGGCAGGCTTATGCAATGTATGATCATATAATGTAACTAAATCCCCATACTTTTCACATATAGTGCTTAGTTTTGTCTCCTCTTGTTTTACTTTGTATCTCTTGTCTTGTTTTATTTTTGTCTTGTAATCCCAGTCCATGTACAGTCCTGTCCAGTCATGCTCATGTTATGTTCTTGTTTTCCTCATGTCTTGTGTACATGTTCTGCTTTCTGTCCTGCTCTGGTTCTGGGTTCTCCTAGTTTTGTCTTGTTTTCATGTATGGTGCCTATCTCTAGCCTTGCCCTGTTCTCCTAATTTTGTCTTGTTTTCATGTATGGTGCCTATTTCTAGTCTTGCCTTGCTACAGTACTGGATACATCCCTGCTGCAGAGCCTCCCTATTCAGCTCCTGGGAGGTTTGCTTAATTCCAAGCTTCTAGTTCCTGAGATCCGCATAAGCTGAATCAGGGTTCTGGTATGTGGCTGCACAAATGCTGGTGCTCAACACCAGGGGGCATGTGGTTGCCCTGCACCAGGCCCTGATAATCCACTTCCACGCTGAAGACTCCCACTTCTCATCAGGCACTCAGGGGTCCTGGTTTCCGTACCACCGCCCGGACTGTGTCTGGGTCCCAGGCATCGGACCACTCACCCTGACACCCAGCCAGTGTCTCAGTGTCCCCATGTCTCCCAGTGTCTGTGTCCCCAAATGTCTCAGTGTCCCCATGTTTCCCAGTGT